CTTGAAGAGCCTTATTTTCAATATCTAACCTAAGCCTTCCCTGACACAACTTTGGCCATTCCCTCAGGTCCTGTTACTGGTCACCATAGAGAAGAGATCAGTGTCTGTTTGACCCCCCTTTTCCGCTCATGAGGAAGTTGTAGACTGCAATGAGGTCTCCACTCAGTCTCCTCCAGTCTAAACAGATCAAGTGACCTCAGCTGCTCCTCATATGTCTTCCCTTTAAGGCCCTTCACCATCTTTGTTGCCCTCCTTTGGACACAGTCTAAGAGCTTAATGTATTTCCTATATTGTGGTGCTCACAACCTGCACACAATATTAAAGGTGAGGCCACACAAGTGCAGAGCAGAGCAGGACAATCACCTCCTTTGACTGACTGATGATGCTTTGCCCCAGGACACGGTTGGCCCTCCTGGCTGCCAGGGCACTGCTGACTCAGATTCAACTTACCATCAACCAAGACCCGCAGTTCCCTTTCCATGGCACTGCTTTCCATCATCTTGTTCCCCACTCCTTAGGAACACCCAGGGTTGCCCCATCCCAGGTGCAGAATCCAACACTTTCCTTTGTTGAACTTCATTGTTGGTGATTGCCAAGCCCTCTAATTTGTTGAGGTCTCTCTGCAGGGCCTCTCTGCCTGTGAGGGAGTCAACAACTCCTCCCAGTTTTGTGTCATCTGCAAACTTGCTTAGTATCCCTTCCAGTCCTGTGTCCATGTCATTTATGAAGATGTTGAAGAGCACATGGCCTAGGTGGAACCCCACTAGTGATATAAACATATTTAAGAGAACTAGGCCCTGTAAACATCCATTCCTTAACAGCATACAGGACTGAGAAGAGTTAAATAACTTTTGCTGCTACCTATCTGTGCCTGCTTTCCTCATGCTGTCAGATCATTGATGCTTTTAGGCAAGTGTTGCAATATCTCATTCTTAATGTCTGTTGTGTTGATGGGGAAATGTCTAATAACTGCTACATAAATCTCAGAAAAGTATAATATCTGAGATTTCACACACTGCAAGTGCAAAAGAAGTTGAAGCTGGTTATCAACAACAAAAAAAAAAAGTCTAGAATTACTGAACCTGATTACACATGGAAATTACAAGACCTGAATCTACAATTAGATTTTTAAACACTTGTGTTCAGTGCTGCTTAATCATGTGGATGTTTAACTGTGTAATCAATCAGCTTTTGACCTTAAAATTTTGCACACATTTAAAGATGTGTTTTTACAAAACAGCAAATATTTATGCCTATCCCTAGCATAGGATCCAAAACCGATGTCTTTTTCTGTTAGACTATGTTTGCATGCTGCAAAAAGAGGCCAGGACTTTTTTCCTCTGTCCCCAAAGGTACGTAAAATGCTGATGCACATCTGTGGGGATAGATTTACTTTCATCTTAGAGCAGGGTGGCCTTGACCAGGTTAATTACAGCAGGTTTGTTATTCTTCAAACCACATCTGAACCTCTTCTGGGAATGTACTAACTGGCATGGTACAAAACATACTAAAAAGCAGGCAAGCAGTCAGAGAGAAATGTGTGGCAGTGTTCAAGACCATGACTTGTCTTTTAGGTTTACTGGCATAGTTGTAGCCTGAGAGGTACAATCGTGTGAATCTTTTGTTCTTAAAGAATAACTTTTACAGATCTTCAGGATCCTGTTGCCTATAAGAGGCAGTTGTCTACCTGAAGAGAAAATAATTTACTTTTAAGAGGTGAGCTTTGAGTTAGAGGAACTTCTGAGCCTTTCAATTTACTATCCAGTGTCTTGGAGACCTCTGTATCTTGAGTTCATATTTTTGACTTTTGGGGAGAGTAGTTTAAGGCTAACAATCACTTAAAGGTAAGAATACTTATCCAAAATGTCTGAATGTATACAGCTTGATTTTTCTTTCCAGCACCTCTTTGTGTATCAGTTTTACATGAAACAGCCCTTTCATGTGCTAAGGACTGGGATTCATTCCTCTTGGATCAACATTTCAAACACTTTACTGGAGATCTACACTTCCTCTCCACAGGTTCAGGGTAGTGGTTTTACCTGCATTTTCTTTGACCTCTGTATGGTAAGAGCTCTGTGGGATTAGACCATTATTGAGCAGATTTTGACTTTTTTTATGAAAAAGTGAAATTAAGATAAAAAATAAAATATCAGTAAAAATACTTAGATAAAAAGGGATACTTTAATGGAACATATAGTTCCCCAAAACTGGAACAACAAAAATAAAGGGTATTTTTAAGGTCTTTGAAAATGGAGTTAAAATTTGGTATAAAAATAAATATTTATTTCTTATTAGTCCCTTTCTTTTACAGGGGCTAATCTGTTACAAATCTGATGATAATCTTACAAATCTGATGAATACTTAAAAAAATGAAAATCAATTCAAACAAGACTCAGAAAACTTTAGAGTGAAGTACTTTAACTTCTTGTAATATTTTGAATTTATTATTCAAACATAATGAAGTTGACAAAAATTCCCATTTAGGTTAGTATCTCTGCTTTTGGTTCTTCTCTACTATGGATCTACTATTGTAATGAAGGTTAATTCACAAAAATCTAAATATATTTTTGTTATGAGTTTCAACGAATATTGGAAATACAATAGTTGTTTTCTTAAAATTAAAATCTACAAGGCTATAGACAAATCTGTAAATGGTACTTTATCCTGCAAAAATTTCTGGACAATGGCATATTCCTGGACTTGCATGAATACTATCTTCCCTGGTCTTTCACCAGACATTACTTGAGACCTCAGGAATTTTTAAGACTCCATTAGCATCAGAAGTGGATCCTTTTTTTTTTGGCCTATATGGTAGTGCAGATATGCTTTTAGGTGAATGATTTTTTTTTCCCTTCATTTGTGAAGGATAGGATTCGTCTTGCTTCTCTTCATCATAAGTTAAGTCCGTATCAAGTCATCGAGGCCTGAGATCTGCTGAAAAAGGTCACCTAAAAATGTCTGTTCTTTTCATCTGTCTTATAGTCATGTCTCTTCAGTCTTTTTTCATTGACTGAAATGGAATTAATCAACATAGTTTGTCTTGGACTACATACTAAATTGAAAGACATTTAACATTTACCAAGATAAATCTCATTCTGAGTCAGTGATAAATGGAACACCTTTGCCATCATATTTCTTAGTGAAAATTGTGAACACTGATTTAATATATGCCCACAGTCTGAAGAAAGTTATATCGTTTTTATTCATAAATATTTTTTCATGTGAAATACACTACATCCTATAGTGGAGTAAAAAGGGGGTAAGTACTGATACAATTGCAATTTTTCACTCCTTATTATAATTTGGAATATTAAAATAGAGGGTAGTATTGATCAAACAAAAATGCTTATATTTGCACTTAAATAATTCAAGCAAAAGAAGACAGACATAAACATCTTCATAAAGTCTGATTAATAACAAAAACTTCAAACATAAAAAATTTGTAAAATCACGGTATTTTCTTACAGATTAAAAAAATTTTCAGTTGAACATAAAATTACAGATTTCAGATTTATTACAGATTTATTTCAGATATGTACAGATACAGACATATTGTAACAATTTCAAAGAACATAGCTGAACTTAATTGTCTTTGCCAAAGACCAGCTTTTGTCAACATTAAATAGTCTTTTGAATGCAGAGAATATGTAGATCATATATACGATAATTTTTGGTTTTGGTTGCCTATTTTTATATTCTTGACTCCACTGTATTGTTATAGAAGTTTTAATTGCTCTGTTTTCTTGATACAGGCTGAAAAATAAGTAATGGAATTAATTGTTAAAAATTGGAGAGATACGATCAGTTTACACAACCTAGCTATCTTTCAAAGTAAAAAACAAACAAGTCAACATTTTTAGTGAGTTTTGCTAAAGCTATTTTCAGCACCACCATTTACTGCCTTATTTTCACTGCAAAGCCATTATATACCCCTATATGTATTGAACTGGTTCAAGTATTTAGTTCAATGTAACACCATTGCTGCCAATTAAATATTTTAAATTTGCAGGAAAAAAAAATGCTTAGAGAAGCCCTCTAGCTTTGCAATACATGTAGGGGGGGAAAAGTGATTTTCTGATTGATTCAAGTAATATGAATAAATTATTAGTCCTTATGATAGCAGAGAAAATTAATCTTTTGAGCACAATGAAATTAAAAGGTTTTGGCTTGCCTGATCTGAACAAAGTAAGATGAATTTTTAATACAGCAAATTAATTAGGCACATAATGAGGAATAGGATGCATAATAACTCTAATTCTGATAAATAGCAAAATAGTTCAGATCCTCAAGGAAATAAATATCATCCATCACAAACACTTCTTAAATTCTTTTTGTTGGGGAATATTAATGATAAGAGAGCTTGCATAGAGGAGGTAGATAAATTCTATTTGCTGATTTTGTTCAGCGCAATTACATTACATGTTGACCCTCATCTGTAACTTTTTGTGAAATTGATTTTAGGACATTATTCATTTCTGAAGGTGTTAATGTACCATAAAGGATTTGTATTATTGTTAAACATACTGTCTATGCCAGGTGTTACATGTTATTTGCTTTTGCCCTGAAGATCATTTAACAGCTTATAAATCTTTATGGCCCCGTGATGTTTTGCTACAATAATTTGCATCTTTAAATAGCTTCTGAATGATTAATTCTAAAAATAAGTAACAAGCAACATTTCTGTTATTAAAGAATATATATCTTCTGTTTTACAATAGTGTTAGCTACAAATCTCAAGCAGTACCAATATGGGAAACAGTAAAGTTGATTGGGAATGTGAGAACAATTTTTTTTCTAACTTTACAGCATAAAGGTATTTCAATTCAGATAAAGTAGTTAATCAGTTTAAGAAATTTTCTTTTATGAGAACTTTCCATGAACTTTAAAGAATTATATAACTGCATAGCTCTATTTCAATAGAATGTCATGTATTCTATCTATGAATCTGTTTTGAAACCTAAGAACTGAATATATATTAATAAAATCTGATATAATCTCATCTCTTCTATAACACATCGAAACAATGGAATTAGAGTTTAAAAAATAGCTGATTTGACAGATCTGTCACAACTTCTTATTACTCTGCATTGTCTTTGTTTTAATGAATAGGTCTGTGCACTAGAGGAGGCTACTACAAAGAGAAGGACTTGTCTTTGTTGGTGCATACAGTCTAAACTACCATGGAAGAGGGAGGCTTTGGGAAAAATTAGGCTCATACCTTTCAAAGAACACTTCAGAATGGAACGGATAGAGAATAGTAGGAACAACAGAAATTTTATACTGAGAAGGAAACTTCCTCAGAGAAGCATGAAGAGAACAGGTAATCATCAGAATTTCCAGAAAAAGAAGATTTTCTATGGGTACTGAGAGGAATTTTACTTTGCAACTTATGCTTGATCCTTAATTCTGGTCAGCTAGTACCTCCATTTTATTATTTGCAATGTCCTGATTTTTCTGGTATTGCTGTCTTAGTGGTCACCTGGTGGTCCAGGTGATTCATATGCCTATTTTGGACTGTCTTTTTAGCCCCCAGAAATTCATGGGAAAGTCCACACTGACGTAATTTTGTAGATCTGAGCTCTCTCCTTTCATCAGAAGGTAATGACAGAATCTATCCTGTTTCAGTTGTAATTTCTGAGATTTCTTACAAAGCAATAGTATGTTGCCACATATTATGCTTATTTACTGCATGTGATGGCTACTTCATATGTATTAGTAAACTAATGTGAAAATACATGGTAAAACATACACTGACTTTTAGCAGTCACTGATCTAAGGCAATTATTGTAAACCTCACTGTAAAACAACCTTACTTTCCCATGTTCTTATTCACTAAGAGTAAATACTAAATGTTTTATCTATATTGTCAGTGTTATTTATTTTCTTCATGAAAAACATTCTATATAACCACAGTATTAGTATCGATTCTCTCTTTTGTAATTTAAAATTTGTATTTTCTTAGTAGGAGCTTTCACAATATTCAGACAGGATACTTCTTTAACTTTCTATTAAAACTTAGAGGCTATAGACTGCATATAAATCATTATTTTCTTCAATAAAAAGCTAGCAAAGGTAAAAACTCTGGGCAGTCAATACCATTAGGATAAAATATGTATATAGACATTGATGGACAGGATATGGACAAAGATGGTGATATGATAATTAGTCTGAAAGTCTTGAAAAGTAAACTAGATAGTGTTTAGGAAATTTTAGGATTAACAATTTGCTCTTCATAATAATTGTGGTACATATCAGTCCAAGCTATTTGCAGAATGCTTTTTATTAGTAAATGAATTTAGTTGTATTTAAAAGTGAAAAGGTATGACTGCTGATACATTTCTATGGCAGCAAAGGCTATTACTTGCATAATATTCTGTATAGTGTTTTATAAGGAGCTAATGTAAGCTGTTGGTTCATGGTTCATTATTAACAAAAAAGTCCTGAGAAAGCGGTATTAGTAACATTCAGTGTTAAAACAAAGGGGAAAAAAAAAAGAAAACCTATTGAAAGTCATATCACTATACAGTGTTTATTCCTGTTACTCATATGCACAAAACTGCAAAATAACATCAAACCATCAGAAAAGAACCGTTCTGTAAATCCTACTAATTCTCTGATAATAACCTACTACAGAAGATGTATATACCTTTCATGTGCCATCTCTCGTATCATCTCTCTGTTCATATTCTAAGCAAAGTAAAGGATAAATCTAGTACACAAAGAAACAAAAGTTTTTGATAGTTTTTCTCTTTTTAACTAAAGACAAATTTCTTTATTCTATTTGAAACATTTATGAAGCTTTTTTATACAGGCTTTATTACTTTTGGTGGGAAAATGTATTAATAAAGTAATGAAAAATACTAATATTATGAAAGGGAAAGATACTATTGTCAAATATAGTTTCTATTATCAGAATTTTACTATTTTGTCTTTTTTTTTTCTTTATTCATTTGGTGTTAAGATATCATATAGGTATAAAGTTATGTTAATTTTCATTTAAATGATTTGTTTATTTAAAAACAAACCAGTAATTTCTTAGTACATCTGTACTGGTACAGGACACAACTGTATCCAAGCCTTGACAAATGTAGCCTCTATTTGTTATTCTCAGAACTAAACCCAGTAACTCATGAGAAAAGCACTTCGCCCAGATATAGCTTCTCCAAGGCTGTTTTCTTACAAATATTGAATTTTCAAACCCAGTATGATTAGATGATATTCCTAAAGGCATCGGATTTCCAAATTACTATATCTAAAGGAAACTTGGGGAGATATGCCATCCATTTACAATCAATGAGATGTGAATTACTAATAAACTTTATTTTAGTGGGCTGGTATAGGTGTATAGTTTATATTATTTCTTTTGGTTGAATCCTTTTTTATTTTCCTGAGTTTGTTCCATTTTGGTTGGGTCAATAGCAGTTGGTCTCTTAGCTATTCTTTTTTTTTTCACCTTTCTTTTCACAATCTCTTCGTTCTGTCTTTTATATGCATTCCTTATTTATTTTCTAACTCTATTTCCCTCCAACATTTCTTCTGATCACCTTCCTTGTCTTTCTTCAGAGTACAGAGGGTCTAATACTCAAGCAAATGTCTGAAAACCTAGATGTTTATCCTCCTCTCCTGTGTGGCAAATTAATGTGAATACTTATATCAGGGAGCTAGAGATTGCTGGCATCGAGTGTTTAGGAGACTGACAAATATTGTCAGTTTTAAACATTAAATCTAAAGTTTACTAAGTACCTTCATTAGCAAAATATTTCTTGCAAATTGTCTGTTCTTACAAATTATCATTACATTAATTATCATTACATGAATTACCATTACATGAATTGCTTATACAAAAGTCTCACTTTTTGACAGTTACATTGTAAATTATTTGAGTATAATTTGTGAGTATACATTGCCACAGAGCCTAAGTTGCACAGCTATCACTGATAGCTGTCCAGCATCTTATCAGCTCTTATCCTCAAGGACAAGGTGATTAGGCTTGAGATCTCATCAACCAGAAAGTTGTAACTGGTTGTAAGGTGCAAATTTATTCTCCAATTTTCCTTGCTTGCTCTTTCCTGATGTTTTTATGCTGTTGCAGTCTTCTCTGCTACTTATTGAACACATATTATCTATAATAACAATGGCCAGTCTTCGCGAGCGAAGATCCGGGGAAGGTCTTTACACCTTCCAGCCTGCGCATTGGATTTTTTAGGTGAGACACAGTGTGCGCGGAACTGAGCCCACCCTTTAATCCTAAGGTCCTCAGGACATAGATGGATTACCTTACATGGCTAACAAGCTCCATCTGCCCGGGGAGTGTCCCTGACCGGGAATCGAACCCGGGCCTCGGCAGTGACAGCGCCGTGCCCTTAACCACTAGACCACCAGGGGCTCCCATATTATCTGTACGTGTTCCTTTTTCAGGTTAAATAAAGGTGGCCTATCTGCCTGAGTCAACACTGGTGATTTCCAAAGAACGGTAACAAAACTGGTGAAAAATCTAGAGAACAAATTCTCTCAGGACCGACTGAGGGAACTGGGATTGTTTATCCTGGAGAAAAAGAGGCTCAGGGGAGACTTTATCCCTCTTTACAAATACCTGAAAGGTGGTTGTAGGAAGGTGAGTGTTGATCTCTTTTCCCAAGTAACAAGCAACAGGATGAGAGGAAATGGCTTCAAGTTGTGCCAGGGAAAGTTTCAAGTGAATATTAGGAAAAATCTCTTCACTGAAATGGTGGTCAGGCATTGAATCAGGCTGCCCAGGGAATTGATGGAATCACCATTCATGGTGTGATGAATCCCATGACTGGTGTGAGGCAGGCTGAAGGGGTTCTGAGAAACTACGGGAAGGCAGAAGCCCACAGCACCCCTCCCTTCCCCCCCTGCGCTGCGCTACAAAGGAAGGCATTTGATATGCCGATGTAAACACAGTCACTATGACAACCATTCACTCTGGAATTCCATAAAGCCTACCCACAACATTCTTTGAACTTTTAACAATGTTAATGAAATTGAACAAGAAGTAAAAATATGTTTGCTTTGCAAGTTATATATAGTGTATATAAATATATATTCCGTTCACAGACGGAAGACACAGAGAAGACTTGAAAACAAAGCTGCTGTGAGAGTTGAAGAGACATCTTGCTGGTGATACCGGTCCAGTCCCTCTATGGAATTGCCTGACTCTCTCATCTGTTTCTACCATGATAACTACTTAAAACTGACTGAACTATTAATGGGAACAGTTTGTAAGCTTTTTGTTAACAGTGGAAACAACTGGAAGAGGCAGATGGAGCCAAGAATAAACTGCATTCCAGACATCGGAGATACCAACATACAGAGGGCACGGAGACAGCAACGGCGTGGAGCACCAGCACAGACTGGAGTGGCTTTGCAGCCATACTGAAAGTAGACCGGAGGCAGCACAGGGCGAGCAAAGCCAGAGCAGAGCATGCCGCTCCCTGACAGGATTAGGCCCCACTGCCTGTGGTGAGGAGGGTCCCGGAGGACCCGGAGCTGCAGTACTCAACAGTTATAATATTGCCAACACAGCTTTCTCAGTAGCGTGCCAAAGCTGCCGAATCTGCAGCAGCTTAAAAAAAAAAAAAAAAAAAAAAAAAAAAAAAGGGGAGCTTTGAAGAAAATTTCCATGTCCGTGACTGGTAGTGCTGTTCACTGAATTTGTCACAGTTGACAGAGAAGTGGAACTTGCTGGGGAATAGTTAAGAGTTTAGGAGATCTGCTAATGGTCCTAGTTGCAGAGGTTTTGTAATTGCAAATTACACCTTCCTTCTTTTCTTTTCCCCTCTTCCTGGCATTACATTAAGGTACATTTCAGTTGGGAATTTAAAATTACTACAAAATGCAAAAAGCAGAAGTTAGTCACCAGTATTATACCCTTAAGTTCCTTAGCTTTTGGTATTCTAAAACAGGGCTAACTCACTCATAGAACAAATTATTGTCAAGGGAGCATTTTACACACCATATTTTCAAAACAAAAAAAAAAGGGGGGGAGGAGAATATGCATGCACATAAACAGGTACTGGATCAAAAATGGATCTCATTTATGTTTGTTAAGCTTTATATTCCTTGTATTGATTCCTCTTCAGGACAGGTGCAGTTGCTAAACATGACCACCGGAGATGGCAAACTTAGGAGTACACAGCCAGTAATACTTGGGATCTGAGATGTGTGGTTGAAATGTAAAAATATAATAAAAATTCTAGCTATGTGTGAGTGAGGAGTGATTGAGGTGGCCAACTTTTGAATGACTGGGAAAAAAGCTGTATGAGTGAAAAAAGCTGTGTAGATATCTATGTGTATGAACTTAAAATACTTCATGAGTGTCAAGATTTTCAGAGGATGTGTTATAAAAATTTGATTATGGTAAGTTGATGCATGTTAACCTTCAAAGATTAGAAGTAAGAACCAAAGAGTTGCAAGTTGATGCTGGTCAAGACTAGCTAAATAGTTTGTTAGTAGATGGGAACTATCAAGATGGCTTTTGTCTGTAGTCAAAACAAGGTTGCTTGTGTTGCTTACTGTTGTAGTTGTATTACTGATGTTGCCATGTTTGGTGTCATGTTTGCAAAAGGCCCTGCAGGGGACGACTCAGGCAGTATTTGTGGCACAAATACAAAAAAGGGGGAATTGTGGAGGTATACAACAAGGCAGTGGAGCCTAGCAGCAAGGAAAGAATGCAAATAAGAAGTGAACATCCAATCATATGTGAAGGCTGGTAATAATATATAGATAACAGAGCTAAGAATAGTTTTGATACGTAAGATCCTACAGTCAGACTGTGAGTGCAGTTGTGTGAGAACAAGATGTAATGTACTGGATGAAGCAATAAAAAGCTGAATGTAGGCCCTCATCATAAGGTACCCAATTTTTATTTAATGGTTGTCCTCAACATACTACAACAGTGAAACACTGAAACAGGTTGCAGAGACTGTAGATGTCTCATCCCTGGAATCATTCAAGGTCAGGTTGGATGGAGCTCTGAGCAATCTGATCTGGTTGAAGATGTTTCTGCTTATTTAATGGGGGTTGGACTAGATGACCTAGAAAGGTCACTTCCAATACAAACTGTCCTGTCATTCTATGATTTTATTCTATAACATTAGTTCTTATACACACAGATGATGTTCAAAAAAGAGAAAAAGAAACAAGATGAGCATGCTCATAATAAGAAGACTGAATATTTTTAAGGAGGGAAGGTTGGGAATAAGACATGAAAATTCCATTATATCCACAGTGTTTCACCCCAGGGAAACCTGAAAAGCTTAGGGATATTAACTCCAATTGAAACAAAAGGGACATAGCAAATCTATTTACCATTCTTAAATCAGATATACCCCTAGGGACCTAATTTCTGATTACCTGTATCATATAACTATCCCATTTTTCCTCATGCTATCTTTGTTCAACAGTCTCGGACAAAGAAGGGCATCTGTTGGGACAGTTTTTCACATTAGTTGTGCATAGTCTTTAGAGCTATTTGAACAAATATAAATAGAGAATATAATAAAAATGTTCCCTTTTCTCTGACAATCTTAATTACCCTGGTAATTCATTACCAATTGTACTGTCTGCAATCAGAAAACAGCAGAAGATTACTGTATCTAGTGATTAGTGTCTATAAGTCTCATGCAGGACGAATTAAAATGATTAGATGAATTATCACTGGGATTACAAAACAGACTTGACAAACTAGCAATTTGGATTTTCCTGGATCCTTATGCTTCCATAGCTGCATTTAATCTTACTTGAACATTTATTTTTCTTCATTGATGAGGTCTTTAGGATCATTTAACTGCATGGTTTAATGATCTTCAGTCTTTCTCATTAAACTCATCTTATTAAATCCTGCCTAACTCTGGGTTGTAGTGCCTATGGTGGAATACCAATCCTCCATTCCAACCCATACTTTCTTCTAGACGTGCTACAACTGCCCATCTCAATAGCAGAAGTCCAAAGATCTAGTCACTGCAGATCTACAGTATTTTCTTATATCTGATTTTGTCTTTCTTTTTCAGACTGAAAGTTCTACTGATTTTCTGCCTAACTTTCTTTACTAACTTTGTTTTGGCAATTAAAAATAATGAGGGTCTGATATAAAATATATGCAAAGGTAGCAAGAAAATTAGGTATTAACCTATTACTATTGTTGCAATGGGAGAATAAACTTAGATGGTAATGTTTTATTTGAAAATTATTCAAAATTATTCAGTAATCAACAGTCTTTGTACACTGTGCATGAGTTACCAGTGACTGACAATGATAAATATTTCATTCTCTTATGCATTTGATGATAATGTGCTATTCATATATGAATAACTTTATCTAACCATTACATTTTTTAAAATCTTTGTATTGTTTAACTATTATTTAGTAATAGATAGTTCCTGAATACCATTCAAGAGTCACTGAACTTAACATTTCTCCCAAATCCAAAGAATACACAAGGTCCTTCACATTTTTTTTGTTCAAAGAGAAACATATAATTTTAAACCATTGATCCAGACATTTCAGTTCAAATCCTTCAGTGAAAATATTACAGGTGTAGAGTAATGCATTCCTTTTTTTATGCCCTTTAAGGTATACATGTTTAAGCTTCTGCTAGTTGACAATGAAATATATCTTGAAGGAAAAAAGTATGCTGATATAAATCAGAGGAATCCTCAGAATTCAAATTATTTTTGCAGAACCATGCAACCTAAGGATGTGACATATAATTTTTAAAAAAGTAATTGATGCAGCTGTACTTTTACTTGTTTATTGAAGTCACTGACTTTTCTGATGTTTGAAATATTTAGTTCTAAGTTAATAATAAATTTAAATAGACTCATTACCTACCTCCAATTCCAATTACTGTTGATTTCCTTACATGGGTTCCTGTAAAAGTGAATGATGTAATATACAATTTTGCAACATACATACTTAGAGTCTGTCACGAGTTAACATATCTTAAAACATAAAGGAGCATAGCAGACGGATGGTCCTAGCTGTTAGTTCTGCCAGTTAATTGTAAAAAATATTATCCAAGTGGCTTTCAGAACCATGTGCCAAATTTCCCTAGATGCCTGCTTCAGGGGCAGTTCATGTCCTTTAATAATCAACAAGTAGAAAACATACTTTACAACTTATAACTATAAGGTAAGTCATATGATATAGAAAGCAATACCTGGTTTAAATGCACGCATAACAATCTTCTGACATATTGTATAGAAAGAGAATCACAGAAAAAAATTAGCTTGGAAGTGAAGGTCCTTTTCTGTTTGGTCATTTTAAACTTAACTCTCAGAAAATGTGAACTACGTAAAATTTGAGGCTTACCTGTAAAATCAATACTTGTATTTGTTTACAAAATAGATTAGAAAATCTTCATTCATCTGCTGATCTTTCAGGTATATAATTCTTTTTTCCCAATATGGTGAGGTTTTTTTCTGTCTGATGTACTGAAATTTCAGAATAGTACATTACAACAAAAGTGCTATAAAAATGTCTGTCATCAATGCATAATCTATAAGAGCTCTGATCACTTTTGTCCCAGTGATGCATTGGTACAATACATCATCAGGATGAAAGCCAGAGAGAACAGAAGGCCAAAGAAGGACCTTTTTCAACATTTTCAAAAAAATGTTGTGATTCTTCCTTAAATATTAGCTGAAGATGAACCTTCTGTTTGTACATGTATATAAATATTAAAAAAAATCTCTTCCAGAAAAGGTAATGAAGGTGGTCCATTAACAATAATTGACATCTTATTATGCAGAAGAAATTCTCATCTTTTCTAAGAAGTCTTTTTTTTGCATTTCAGTGTTTCAGATATATCTCACTGTGAATCCCTTTTGCTGTTGGTGGTTGTCATTTTTTGCAGAATTACTTTAAGTTCACTATAAATGCATCTCAAGTACTCTTTCTTCATAAAACAATACTTCATCTCTCCCACTATGAAATCATATGGTTCAGTCATCTTTAAATAGAACAAAATCATTCTTCATTCCCTTCCTACTCCCTATTTTGTCATAAGCAGCCCAACTTGCTTCAACATGTGTAAACCTTTTCATTCAAGGATATGGAGCCAGTGACTGACAAAAAGGCTTCAAAGAGTAAAAAACCAGTTTCTTAACTTCAACATAAGTAGCAACAACTAAAGTGAAAAAATATGGAGTGAAATGATAAAAAAAATAAATCCACTTATGCACATAGCCTCTGGGCACTTGCCTTTTACATTTTTTTTCTCATCTGACTTAATCACATTTTTGTTTGGGGGGAAAAAATACCCCACACAAACACACCAAAAAAAACCACCAAAAAACACAACAACAACAACAAAAAAACCCAAAACAAAAAAAAAAAACCAAAAAAAAACCAAAACAACCCACACTTTTTTCTGTAACAACATCTTTGCCTTTTTTCTCTGTCACATATAGACTCATTAATGAATTCATATATATATATATATGAGTTTCTGTATTTCATCTTTCCTAATTCAAAAATATAAAGGTTCTTCAGTTTCCTTTGATACTAGTTTTAGTCTTGAGAAAAATAAATCCTGTTTTCCAGATTAAACCAGACGGTATATTCAAATTAACAGCTTTTCCACG